TTAAAATTCCTATAAAAACTCGAAAATGAGTATTATTACTATAACTGTCACAAAAGCAAACTTTACAGGGTAAAAAGGTATTTTTTTGTCGTTTTTGTGCACTATTAACCGGAAAATCGTAAAATAAACTTTAGGACAAGGAACGAAATTTTTTTTGTAGAGCCGTGTTATCTATTTAACATTTTATAAGATATTTATTATGGTATCTTTTGAAATTATTGTTGATATATGACATGATATAAATTAACAACAATTCCATATAATGGAATTAAAAAATAATAATCATATAATCATATAATCATATAATAATAATTATATTCATGTATATTTATCGTTTGTAATTTTTATTTTAAAAATGAAGTAATATTGATTTTTTTAATAGATAAATTCAAGTTTATATATGTAAAAAATGAGAAAATTAATGATAAACAATGAGTAATAGAGACATTTTTATAAATTAAAAATGTATTTTAATTTCAAATAATTGAGTACAATAAACATTTTGACCTTAGTTTCAACGTTAAAATATTAACACTAATAAAAATTTAATAGCATAAAATTTATAATAAAATTAAAAATAAATAAATTAATAAAATGGAAATTAAAAAATATAAACATAAGAAAGACTTCTCAGGTGAAATAAACATACGTTTACACTTTTATATAAATTAGAAAATTATTAGTATTTATTTATATAATATTTTTGTCATATATTGAATATAAGTTATCATTGGAAAAAATAAAATATCTTTAAGGTTTTTTTTTAATTTACATTTATTCATATTCATAAAAAGTAAAATATATATTCATAATAAGAGTTGTGGTATGTATAAATATTTAAAAGAACGAGTATGTACAAAACGAAAGAGTATGTATAAAAATTTAAAAGACCAATAAACGAGCTAAGATTTAGGTTAAAAAATACTAAATATATTTTTTATTAATCTGTTGTAAAATTGACAAGATGGAATGTGTCTCGTATGTATTAAAATAAATGCTTATGTGTAAACATATAATTTTTAATTATAACAGTGAAATAAACATAACATTTGTTGTGTATATGTATATTAAATTTTAAAATAATATAATATAATAAAGAAAAATAAACTTATAAATTTTTTGTTAAAAAATTCATATTTTTTAAATACACTGCTCAAAACAATTATGGCATAGAAAAATTTTGAGCAAAAATTGGTCAACTTTGGTTAACGGTAACTCCGCGAAAAATCATCGTAAAATGATGAATTTTTTTTCAAATAAAAGCTTGAAATCTCTACTTTAAGGTCGACTCACAGTATTTTAAAGTAGAGATTTCAAGTTTTTATTTGAAAAAAAGTTCATCATTTTACGATGATTTTTCGCGGAGTTACCATTAACCAAAGTTGACCAATTTTTGCTCAAAATTTTTCTATGCCATAATTTTTTTGAGCAGTGTAGTTTATCCGTTTCTAAAAAACAATATAAAATAATTTTTTTTCTGAGAACTTTATTCTATAAAATGTTAAAAATTAATAATAATTATAGTATTTGGCTTTTTATATAGACTAGCACTACAGCGCGCTATTTAGCTGAACTTTTTACTTTTTACTATTACTTACAATTACACATCAACCTCAATGTACGCAACTGTCAAAATATGCAATGACAGCTGTTCATGAAGTAAGCACAGCGAGACAACCAATCAACGTCGTACTGAATAGAATTAACAATAAATTTCGAGACTTTTCGACTTCGACTTAACATGCCCTTTTTTTTAGATATAGGAGGATTCGACTTCGACTTAACATGCCTTTTTTAGATAGGAATATTTGTTAATTGTAGAAATTTATAAACTTTATTATAATTTCAGGTTGGGATTGGCTACTAAACAACAATGTGAAAACGCTTTAAAGGAGACTAAGTACGACGTAGAAATGGCAGCTTCGTTGCTGCTCGATCAGGCCAGATGAAAAACAATTAATGTCCTGAGATCTCCTTTGACATAGCTTTAACTCTGCATATGCGTTTATTTACGAAAAAAAGTAATAAATGAAAACTATTGTGCTGAGGAAGCAAAGATTGATCAGAGGTTACATATGAATATCTTTTGCATTCCGATCACAATTTAGCGATTAGTCGATGCCTATTGGGATGAAATAAAAACTGTTTTTGCGCATAATCGACACGTGATACTGGTAAAAATACCACCAATGACATTATTTTTAAGATATAACAAATATAATTCTGAAACTGTGATATGTTATTGATTTTTATCTGGATTTACGATCTTATGAAAGAACTTCTACAGTTCTTGCGATAAAACATTGTATTTTTATTTACAGCAGATAATGATGTTAAAATAAGGTTTTGAAATTAAGTATAATATTAAATTACATACAGACTCACTCTGTTTGATAACCTTAGTTCAATTTTTTATCAACTGTTTGTCGAATACTTGAACAATAAATGATAAGAGGACTAATAAGTCTACGCGACTAATCTCAGTGTACAATATTCTTATTAAAAATTATCAATTTTATTTAATTTTCCACGGATATTTTGGTTCCATTTCGAATTACCTTCAGCATATAATAACGCAAAAATTCAAAAATTTTCATAGTAAAGTTGGCTAAGTTACCTCCCCATTATCAATCCTGCGTTTCTGACACATGATTTAGAAAGTCAGGTGGCAATAAACAAATTAACTGAACCGAAATTCGGTCAATTCCTTGAATGCCAAGGAGTGCAGATTTATAAACAGTCAAGACGTATAAATTTGCTAATCGTGTTAATATAAAATTCGCAAAGCAAAGTAATAATTTGATTCGCACGGAAGTCAACATTAAAATAAATCAGTGACACAAGATTATTAATCATCATTATAATCATGATAATGAGGAGGTACTTAGCTAACTTTATCATAAGGATTTTTTAATTTTTGCGTTATGTGCCAAAGATAGCCCGAAATGGAACCGTAATGTCCATAGAAAATTGATAATTTTTAATTAAAAAAATATTGCGCGTTGATTATTGCATACACTCTCATTAGTCCTTTTATCTCATTAGTCATTTATTCTTGACATTTTCGAGAGTTTAGTATTAATTTATAATTTGAGCAACTAGTCTAGCTGGCTGAATTTTTACTAAGGTGTTGCTATATATATTTCTCCAAATTTATAATATTTATTCATAAATAATCATTTTTAACAAATAAATTAGAAAATCCATTGAAAACGTATATGTCAGCAAGCATGTAATGTTAGGCGCATAATCCTCAAAGAATTAATGCTTTTATATACATCAAATAGTGAAATGAATTGATTTAAAGAAAATGTAAACATATTTAATTTTTTTTCACTACAAATAACCATTATAGTACACTGCCAATATCCATATGTTCGCCTGCAAAAGCAAAGCGAGATTAAGTTACAAGTAATGACGTTTATATATGTTGTCAACAATTAAGTTGTAAGATATGAGTCTATCACATTTTTGCGAAGTAACGAGTTTAATCTTTGTACATGGCAAAGCACTATCGCGGCTTCTACTCGCTCACATAGCAATAGCGTTTTCCGATTATATGTATTTTTATTACGTCAATCGAGTCTTCACGTAAAAGTATTAAAGTAAGTTTACCGAAAAGGATTCTTTACGAAATCTTTCGTGTTTTAGATCAAAATATGTCGGAATAAAACATGAAATATTTCACAAACTAATGGAATAAAATATATCTCGCTTTTATCCTGTTTTAATATTTTGATGTATAGAATGACCAGCAAAATCGAAATATGTGCAAAAATATTTCATTAGAAAAATTGATAACATTGATAATGTCATCATAAGATATATGCTATAAAAACATTTTATTTTCGTGCATTGTTTTTTTGAAACTTGAACTTTTATTCGAACGGTTTTTAAAAATTGCTTTTAAATATACTCTCGATATAATTGTGAGGTTTCTTTACTTTTTATATACATATATGTATATATGGGTCATCCATACGAAGACACAAATGGTTCTGTCCAAAACATGGTTTGATCTATTTTAAACGTACGAATATGTCAAATGTTAGCTTATTTTATGTAGAATCGAAAGTCATCTGGCGATTTTGGAAAATTCCAAAATGGCGACCATGACGGCGTAGTCTGTTGTGTATGAATTTTTTTTGAACAAATTTTAATTACCGAAGCACAGAGAGCTAAATATTTTTTCTATTTCCATAAATTAAGGTTTTTAGGGTCGCTGAATACGAATTCGCAGTCATAATTGTGAAATTAATTATGTATCCAACATGACAGCCAAATTTAGCCAATTTCCAAAAATTATTTTTTTTGCACAAGACTCAGCAAATAGGGAATTTTTTTTATTATTATGATGATGTTATTTTTTGAAGTTATTAAAACAAAATTCGAAGTACCGAATTCAACATAACAATATATGGCATATGGCCAATCCTAATTGCAAGGTGGAAGAGTTTTTTACGATTACGTTATCAATTGGCCCCTGTTTTATTGGACCTCTGATTGCAAATTATCACATTTTATTCAAAGTTCGAGATTGTAAATCCAAAATGGTGAATGAAATATGAAAATTGCATAATTAAAAAACAAATTTTGATAACTTTTTTCGTTTAACAAAGTTGGAGACTCAACAGATTTTATTTTTATTTTTTATGATTAACTAGTTATTTTTACTTTTTTGTTTTTTCCTTTTTAATAAATTAAATTAATTTTAATACTATGATGTTAATTTTTATTTATAATATTTAAACATTAATTTTGCAAGTGACTATTAGAATATTTAGAATTTTTTATTGTTAATTTTGGTTTTAATACTGGTATGAAACAATAATCAAATTAATTATTAAATTAAAGTTTGAATCTTATAAATGAAAATTAACATCAAGTATTAAAACTATAATTTCATTTATTAAAAAGAAGGAAAAAACAAAAAATAAAAATACTTAAAACAAATCATAAAAAATAAAAAATATGTAAAAAAACAAGAAAGTAATGCGGGCAACAGCCTGAAAATCTGTTGATAGTCTCAATCTTGTTAAACGCAAAGGGTTATCAAAATTTATTTTTTAATTATACAGTTTTCATATTTTATCTACCATGACGGATCAACAATCTTGAACTTCAAGAGTAAGATGGTAATTTTCAATTAAAGACCCAATAAACCAGTGCCCACTTATTAACCAAAATTTTCCTAACTTGAAGATTAGTTGCACTGGTCATATTCCACCACCATATTAGATTAGATCGGGACTTTGAATCACGCTTTAATAACTGAAAATTCATTATTAGCGACCCAAAAACTCTTGTTTGCTGAATCTTGTTCAAAACAAAAAAGTTATTTGGAAATTGGGTAAATTTAGCCACCATGTTAGATTTGCCATTGTGAATTTCAAATTATGATTGGATTTGTCTTCAGCAACCCTAAAAACCTTAATTTATGGAAATAAAAAGAATTTTTAGTCCTTTGTATTTTGATGATAAAAGTTTGTTCCAAAAATTCTTTGATGACAACCTAGTAAGGACGCCATCATGGTCGCAATTTTAGAATTTTCCAAAATCGCCAGGTAACTTTCGATTCTACGTAAAATAAGCTACAATTTGAGTATTTGTACGCTTAAAAAGGGTATGTTTAAAGGGTACGTTCAAACCATTTGCCATAACCTTAGTGACGCCCCTCAAGGTTAAACTGATAAGATCAATAAATAGATTTTTTCAAACCCTATAATTTTTGTTTAAAAATTTTTTTGAAAAACGTCTCCCTTCCGAATTAATTCGCCGTTCTGATCTTTCTTAAACACCCTGTATATAAAAAGTAAAGAAACCCCACAATTATATCGAGTATATGTGTACACGCACGCGCACGCACACACACGCACGCGCACACACACACACACACACACACACACACGATTACAAGATTATGTGTATGTATGTGCGTACATGTACGTGTGTGAACGCGTGTGGATGTGTGGACGCATATGGATACGTGCACACGCGTGTGTGTATAATCTTGCAATCTCAAAAATGACCTTGAGAAAAAATTTTGGTTTATATATTTACTCTTTTCAAACAAATAAATTTTTCTTCTATTTTTTTCACATTATTAAAAACAATCGAGATGTTTTAAATTCTAAGTGTTCAAATTAGGTAACTTAACTTTTACGTGCGTGCGTGCATGTGTGCATGCATAGGATGTTAATTGCTGATTTTAATTTTAATTGCTGAAGGTAAATATTTTGAAAAATATAAAAGATACAGAAAAGTTTGCTATTGAATTTTAATACAAAAAAGCGATTTCTGATAAAGTTATATGGTCTGAAAAAGGACAAATAATAGTAAAATCAATTTTCGAGAAAAAAATCGATTTTTTAGAGTCACATGAAGATCCTTGACATTTTTTAATGAAATTATATTATTTTTAAGATGATAATTCTTGTAGTTATTTTGTATATAAAAAAATTAAAATAAAAAATCAATAGTTTAGAGACAATATACTTTATTGTAGCACATTTTTACATAAATATGAAGTATCTCGAACTATTCATTTTTTGATAACTATACTTTAATACTTATTTATATACAGAATAACTAGAAGAATCATTAAAATCATATAATTCGATTAAAAAGAATTATTTGTGACCTTAAAAAACGATTTTTTTTTTTAATTAATTTTTATTATTTGTCTCTTCAATATAATTTCATCTGAAATATTTATCTTCAATAGTTATTGGAATATTTACCTGCGGCAATTAAAATGAAACACCCTATCTATACGTGCGTGCATGCCTGCGTGTAAACACACGCACACACGCGCGCGCATGTACATATACTAATTTTGAAATTTGTGCTATAATTTATGGCATTAATTTTATAAAAGATTTTATTATTATAACAGAAAAGCTAAAAATTCTAAAAAAATTGATTTTTAAAAATTTACAAAAAATTAGAAAGAATTGGACAATTGGAAAAAAGATCTGAAATGTTATAATGCAATTGAAACTTAAAGTTCTAGACTAGAGTATTTCTAAGTTGTTCACGGACTCAATAATCTAAAGACCTAAGAATTCAAAAATTTTAAAATCTAGGATGATCAAAAGATCATAAGGAATTTTTTAATTCAATAATTTGAAGATTTACAATGTTTAGATGTATTCGAAATTCAAGAATTTTTGCACGTACGAAAAATTTGCACGTACTGAAGAATTAACCCTAGGTATACATTCTGGATCTCTGAAATTCTAACGAAATGTGCTTTCCTTTTAGCGTCATTTTATTTTTGTTGTCACTGGAATATTGAAAAAAAGACAGAATTACGCTTGTGTCGCTAAATGGAAAACGCCTGAAATTTCGAAATTTTATTACAGCTAGAATTAGTAAATAAGATCATGTTTTTCATCATACATGGATCATATTTATTATGCCATATAACACACAAAAATAATTTTTTTTACATAAAAATCAGTATGTCCATGAAAGACAAAATTTAGCATAGAAATGCATTCCATTCCGCGAGATTATTTCCGTTTTTTAATGCACATTTGAAGTTTGATGGAGGTCATTTCGGCCACAATGTAAGATGAAATTTTGCAATTATTCGAAAATCATATATTTCCGTGTAAAATTGGTCACTGAATCCGAAAATGATAAAATTAAAGCGATTGGAGCAAAGTAAAATAACGAAAAAAAAAGTATTTTTAGTCGAAAATTATTCCAATTTTTTCTTTTTTTTTACATAGTTATTACATTTTCTTCATTAATATTTACAAAGAAAATTAAAGAAAGACCGAAAAAAGAGAAATTTTTGAGTGATTTTTTATTAAATCATTGATTAATGCATTTTGCTCTGCTTAAATCTCTTTATTATTTTTGGAGCAACTAATTGTACAGGAAAATATACGATTTTCACTCGCAAAATTTCATTTTACATCAAAGCTGAAATGACATCCTTTAAACTTCAAATATGTATTTAAAAAAAACGCAAATAACGTGATCTCACACAGAACGATACGCACTTCTATATTAGATTTTGTCTCTATTTTTATATCAATTTCTTCGTATGTGAAAAATACTGTTATATGGTGTTACGACCTTAAACTACTTTTGAGTGAATAAATATTTCTTAGTTTATTTACAGTTAATTTTAGAAAAATATGGTCAAAATATACAGATCATTTTTTCGAGTATGAATATGAATATACTATAATAAAAAGACTGGGTGAGATCCTCAGATCCTTGTGTAGTAACTAAAATAAAATCGTATATGAAAAATAAGTGTATGCCTAGGGTCAATAGATAAAATTATTTTGTTCTTAATAATTAATAATATCGAACAAAAATTCGCACAAATATCGTATATCCAGATAAAGATTAGAGGACTTATTATTAGACGGTATTATTATCACATGACATGTAGCCTTTTTTCTTGTATTCATCGAAGAATATTGAGTAATTTTATTATTATTACTCTACATAAAAGTGTACATAATATTAGTATAATTTAAGCTTTTAATATATATTGTACTCTTTTTTGTCTCTATTTCCTTTTTGTTTGATGAACAAATAAATAATACAGATGAATAAGAAACTACATATTTGAGTTATTAATTTACTAAAAAAAAAAAGGAAAAATATAGAATTTTTTATCTTATTTCTATTTCCATTAATAAAAAATCCGTGTTATGTTGAAGTTGTATCTGAATCGAATTCATTGTTGCCTCTTTTCCGCGATACCAATTGGTTGTTCTAAGCTCGATTGTGTCACGTTCGACTTCCGTATTTTTCCATTTGTGTCGTATTGGCGCGCGCTACGCGCGCGCATGTTTTGTCTAATTATATAAATCTTTAATTTCTTTATATTTAGTATAAATTGTGTGAACATCTGAATAATAAACAATTAAACAGTTTCTGTTTAACAAAAGAAATCCTAAACTGATGAAATTACCGACACAGTGTAATATAGGGTTTCGAATTGGTTGCACAGAATAAAAAATCTTTTTGCACAATTAAAGAATGCACAAAAAGGGTGCGATGGTCGATTTATAATAAGAAAATTGACAAAAAATAAAAAAATTACCTTATATCTGTTTTTGCTGTTATTGCTGTCGACTCGTACATTACAGCTGTCACCTAACGTCAATATTTCCACTTTATAAAAGTTATATGGCTTATATGTTCAAAATGCGACCTCTTCTGCGGATTACTGGCACAAACAATACTACGTGCTTTTGAATTTACGATTGTTTATTTAAGAAATGAGACCTTGCGCTACACTTTTCATCTATACGTATGGTTAGCTAATTGCAAGATACAAAATGGTAAACAAAGCATCAATTACGTCTAATAGTAGGTGACACATTGTGATAGACCACACTTCAATATGATAGATAAGGACAGATGTATGTACATACGCGTTTGAGTGAAATAGAACGATATAAAAGATATCACTATTATTAATGTTTTTGGAATTATGGTTATCAGTACGGCGGCTAATTTTTTTGTTTAATTTCGTTAACACCACATGAAAGTATCAATTTTTAACTTTAAAATCCATTTTTATTTATTATTATAATATGATTTCTTGTTTCCGAGATATATGTATAGCAATTTCAATACAGTTCTTTTTCTCATATATGTAACACTATCCGACAAAATTCAATTTTTTTCTTTTATTATAAGTGAATAATCATTTCCAACAGTTCCGATGTATTTCCATCTGCTAAATGAATTCATTAATAAAAGTTGGCTATCACGTCACAATTTAAAAAAAATGCGTCAAAGGAGCCGAAGACGATCACAATTTCATTTTTTTGAAAATTGTGACGTGGTAGCCAACTTTTGTCAACGGATTCGTGTTTAACAGGCAAAAATACGTCGAAAATGACCATTGTCACACTTGTGACGCAAAAAAAGGATTAAATTTTGTCCCAGTGTTCAAAAACTAACAATCCATTTTTTTTTTAAATACAAGTAAGAAACAAAATCTTTCAAATTATTTTTCACAAAAGAAGATCTGTGTAAATGATGAACAAAACAATTAATTAGATCTTGAAATGTCTAAATTGTCTTAAAATTTAAATCATTCAAGCGTACTTTTGAAATGTGCATCCTTCAGTAATATACATATGTTCACTCTGCTTTTGTTTCACTCGCATCATCCGTCATGGGATTTAGAATACGATGATTAGGCCACGAAGTTCGCGCATACGGATGTGAAAGTCTACGAGATTTCATCGCAAAGAGCAGAACGGAAAACATTTTTGCAGTCGCAGAAGCGAAATTGTATTCGCGGTGCGTGCAACACATTCTTCTACATCGTGAGAAAAAAAGGATTTAAAGTGACGTGATCGTTCAATGCACAAAACATCATAAACAATTGATTGTGATCAAAATTTTCATATAGTATGTTCTTTTTGAAGAGGGTGCATGCACTTTCTTAAACCCCATCTACATAAGTCGCAAACGCACAACGCAAAACGCGGAGAAAGAAAAGAAACGTCAAAAAAAAGAAAAGAAAGAGAGAATGTCCGCGTTTGCGTTTTGCGTTTGCGATTTATGTAGATGGGTCTTTACAAGATACATCTTCCCTCTTTTTCTTTTCACGTTGGAGAAAACAAGAAAAGAGACGAACGGCATGCACTGGCTTAAAAAAGAACATACCAATAATAAATATTATAACATGAAAAAATAAAAGACAAAAAAATTAAAATTTGTTAAATGTGTATATATTCATATACACATATATATCTCAATGTCAACTAGATATAAAATAAATTATCTTAATTGTCATATATAATAAACAGAAACTTTTTTATCTAAAAATATCACGTATAAAGAATAGAAAAAAGAAAAAAATAAATACATCTTTATTGTCAGGTAAAGTAATTTTCCAAACAAATAAAAAAAAGAATTATAGAAAATTGATTTCAAATATACGCAAAGCAATGCAATAATATATACAATCAAATAATGTATACATCAAAAGAAGATTGCATATATTGCATTGCTTTGCATATATATATTATATATATATATATATATATATATATATATACACATACATATACATTTATCGTCTTTAGCTATTTAATCTTGGTAATAGCGTCGCACGCCTGAAATAAGACTTCATCCTTTGTGCCGTGAGGACTGTAAACGTCCTTCTAATGGGAGCTTTATTTCGCATTGAGTAACGCACCGTGACGACGCGCGTAGTTCCGTGCGACGTATTTTTCGATGCATTCGCGCGCGTGTGCAGCGGCAACATTAATGTTTCACAATGGTGGATACTCACTGGTTATTGCAAGCAGTGTGATGCTACATCCCAGATAATGTCGGTACTTAATAATTATTTCACTCGCACAACACTTGCATAAAGTCTCTATG